ACGCCCGTCGACCGGGCTGACAGAATACAACAGCAAGACAACCTAGGGTTCCATTCTAGAAAATTTAACGGAAAGCGGCCCTCAGATAAGTTCCAACAAAGCCCTTTGAAAAGGCCTTTGGATGTCAGAATTCTAGACAGTAACTGCGATTACGGCCATGAAAGAGACAGCGACCAGTAGTCTGGAAGATGAATATTCTGGTACACGTTCCACGTATGCCATGGTCTGATGCCTGCATGGTTCATCCTGTATGGTAATTGCTTTCACCCTGCCCCCTCTACGCACGGAATCCCACTAACCCTGTAAAATAGTTTAACCCTCAATCCACCCAGATCGCAATAGTTTCCTTTAGTGACCTCATCACCACCTCTCCATCTATACACTTCGGGTTGCATTTAAAAATGCATTCAAAGTTTAATGGTTTTGTTATGGTTCAAACCATACAATTACCGATTCATGTGCTATTAATGCGTAAACAATAGTGATCACTATTTCTCGTTGATGGGGGCTAATAGGGAATTAATTAAATGGAAATTAAATAAGTTGAGTGGCGAGTAAATCGTTAAGTTATTGATTAATTTGATTACGTCTGCTCTTGAACGGGTCTGATGGAGACTTGCTGAAGACAACCGTTCGCCAGAAATCCTCCACAAAATAAACGTAGGGAAGTGTTTGTAAAAATGGAAAATTATAGATTCGAAAGGGTGTGGCAGCAAGGGACAAAAGAGACAGAAAATATACCTTAAAGTAAAGGGGGAGCTCTTCTAAGGTCTCCCTGTCGACTGGAATGCATTCTATCCTAACATGATGTTTGTACGAATTGGGATAGGCTGCAACTTCGAGGAATACGTAGGAGCCATGAGAGAGGTCAAGCGACCGGGATGCTAATTTGCAGAGTTTCTGCTTGTAGGCGTAAGCCTCATCAGCAGCGACTCCGTCAACCCGCGTCATAGCACCAATGTGTTCATGTGGCGCGATGAAGCAGTGGCCGGGGGTGAGACTAGCGTGTTCCGGTAGAGATAGGAAAACCTATAATAGAAAATAAATTCTACTTAAAAGGAATAAGTAGGAATTGTTTAAATGAATACGGCGAACATTATGGAAGGACGATAGTACGCAAAACGGACGAGTTATGTTTATAGGACAGAGAAGTGGACTCTAAATCACAGAATATTCGGAGGAACTCATTAAAAGATCATCATCAACGAAGACACAA